AAGGGATCAATTCCTTTTATTTCACATTGTGAAATACATAGAATTTACATCATCAAGTCATCATAATTGATCTTAGGCTTTTCTGCGAAGTTCCTGCATATAAAGGGCCACACCACATCCGTCTTCAGCATGAATGAGAAAGATGGTGATGTTGTATAAAGTCTGACCTTAGAATTCTTTAAAAAAAAAAAAAATTTTCTTCTCTCTAGTTCAAAAAGAGCCCACCCAAAGTTCCGTACAAAGCCATCACTTTGGCCACGGTTCTCTTCTTGATCGGCTCTCTGTTAATCGTCATTGGTGCTCTTCTTCTGGCTGGATACTTTGGAGTCACTGTGAGGCATAAAAATCTTTTTATGACAGCAGCACAAATACATACTTAAGATATTTAAAGACATTTAATCACTATGTGTAAAATGTTTTGTGTCTTTCAGCACACCGACCGGACTATACCTGTTCTCATCATCGGAATCCTTGTCTTCCTGCCTGGATTTTACCACCTAAGAATAGCTTATTATGCATCAAAGGGTTACCCAGGATATTCCTATGATGATATTCCAGACTTTGATGACTAATCTTTATACTGGATTAAGCTGGAAGCTACATCCACATTACTTTGGTTTCGAATAACAACTTTTAGATTTAGTTTCTTGCTTTACAATTGGCTGTAGCAGATCGTTGGAGTTGCCACAAGGGGACTTTACTAATTGCAAAAAGTACATTTTTGTTAACCATATGGACCATATTTATCATATGGAGTTTATGGTCTAAAAAATTGGTTTTTAATAGATAGGCTGATTTTTTTTTTTTTAATTTTAACTAAACAAGTACAGTACATATCAATTACAAAAGTTTATACATATGGTAAATAAGCATATACAGTTAGGCCCATAAATATTGGGACAGTGACACAAGTTTTGTTATTTCAGCTGTTTACGAAAACATATTTAGGCTATGGGCTTAAAGTGCAGACTCTCACCTGTAATTTGAGAGCATTCACATCCAAATTAGAGCAAGAGTTTAGGAATTACAGCTCTTGAATACGTAGCTGCCTCTTTTTCAAGGGACCAAAAGTGGACAATTGACTCAGAAGGCTGCAAAGGGCTCTTCCCTCATTAACCTGTCATCAATTAAGCAGTCAAAAGTCTGGAGTTGATTCCAGGTGCAGGTCCAGGCGAACACACAACATGGGGTCAAAGGAGCTCCCAATGGAGGTGAAACAGACCATCATGAGGCTGAAAAAAAGAAGAAATCCATCAGCGAGATGGCAGAAATGTTAGAGTGCACTGGTGAGCTTGGGAACTCAAAAAAGGCCTACACGTCCACGGAAGACGGTGGATGATCCACTCAAGTGAAGAACACCCTTCAGGAAGTAGATGTATCAGTATCTAAGTCTACCATAAAGAGAAGACTTTATGAGAGTAAATACAAATGATTCACCACAAGGTGCAAACCATTAATCAGCCTCTAAAATTGAAGGGCCAAAAATGACTTTTCTCAAGGCAAAACTTAAGGCAGAAAGACCCACAA